CACCTTATTGAGCTGCAGCTTCCTCTTACTGGAACAGGAACAATGGCAGAGTTTGCTGAGTAACTTACTCCTCAGCATGAGTAACACAAACTGATCGCCTCTGTGTGATCAAGACTTTTTCATTTCTCAAAGTACATACAGTTCAAACCAAATACACTTGCTCACAGCTGAGTTTTCTAAGACTCTCCTCATGAAAAGGCCAAGCTCCCCTGCAGCTGCAGAACCGATTGTGTACCAGGACCACTGGAAACCTCGGTGCAGCTCCCAGTATGAAATCAAGCTTACGGTATCCAGGTGTGTCCGCTGATGCTTCGCCCGGTCACTGGAGTTGCTGAAAGCTTTCTGGCAGCCAGGATGCTGACACAGGTATGGCTTCTCTCCAGTATGACTCCGGAGGTGAATCTTGAGGTTCTCAAGCCTAGAAAATGCCTTGTTGCACCCTTCAAACTGAAAAATGTCATAAAAAAAATCATTGTAAGGTTCTATTAAATAAATCATGTGCAGCCACAATGAGAACAGTGTAAGAACCAGGTTGGACATGCAATTAATCAACCACCATTCAAACATCTGTTGAAATCTATGGATGAAACACAACATACTGTGCTGTTCATTCAGTCTGTCACTGAAGACATGGTGTGCAGCTCAGTAATAATACAAGGGTTATAAATATCTCACATGTTCTGTCTGGACTGAACACTTAAAGACACGGTGTCAGAACAGAACATTTCAAGACAGAACAAGTGTTCTGAGGACTCCTGAGATGTTAACTGGCACTGTGGGCAATAACAATTAGCTGCTACAGACAGAGAGCAAGAGAAGCTGGTGGGTTAGAACCTGGTTTCAAGTGTCTGAAATATTATACACTGGAGCAGATGAGCATGGACTATTACAGGAAGACCTAATCCATTTGAAGATCAATCCAAAGCAACTCTGCTGTTATTCTGCACCCTTTTCTTTACTAGCTGTATCATTCAGAGCTGTTCTCAGCATTTATACAATCAGTAACCTGATCAATTCTGACTTCTTAAGCATCGTTTCATTAGGAAACTCAGCAATAAAATGCTGCATAGCCTTCATAACAGAAGTCACTCTTTCAAATTAAATCTGAATAAATAAATAAGTAAAATTTCTAGCTACTAGGCCAAGGGAAGGGTGTTTTGCATTGCTCACTGCTAAGTTTCAGTGTTACAGACAACAGGCAGTGGAGGCACTGTCTGTAGGATGTGCTTTGGGAACTCTCCCAGGTGAGCACAAATATTGTGTGTACACATTCGTGCACCTGCACACCCACAAAATGCACTCAGATACTTGCAAATGTTCAAATACTTGCATGCAAATTCTTTCCCACTCTGCATGTGTTGCTGTTTCATGGCACTGCACATCTTGTTATGCCTCTTCACAGATAAAAACCTGGTTCCTCAAGGATTTGTGGTCTCAAGGAATATATTTGAGAAACATAACCCAATCCACCTTCCTATCAACACTAAGTGCAATTCTGAAATAGAGTAGGTGTATCATCACAGGATGGTTTGGGTTAGAAGGGACCTTAAGGGTCACCTAGTTTCAAGCCCTGCTGTGGGCAAGGGACACCTTCCACAATCTCAGTCCTGTCCAACCTGGCTTTGAGCAAATCCAGGGATGGGGCAGCCACAACTTCTCTGAGCAACCTGTTCCAGCCAATGTTTCTAGAAGCCACAGCTTTTTCTATGACTCTTGCTCATAAACAGTGAAGTCCTGACTCTCACAAAATCAGCAAATTGTCACTTCCTTTTGCCAAGTCAAGATTTTGTTCAGCAGCTTTCCAGGAACCTGTGACTCCTCAGATGGCATCACCAGCTTGTCAATCCTGTTTGTCACACACACCTCTTACACACACATCAGTGCATGCAAACTGCAGACTCGGCTGTGGCATCCAGCAGTGCAGGGGGACAGATGGGAAGGGAGAGCAGCTGCACACGGAGGAGCATTGAAGGTGCTATAACCTGGAGGCACCTGATCTCCCAGGGCCTGCCAATGGCAAATCACTGATGGAGAAAGGCCCACCACATTCTGCTCCTCCCAGTGTGATTTGTAAATACCTCAGCACAGAAACCAAAGTGATTCTCGAGCCAGCACTTCATGTTGCAGGCTGTGCCCTGGCACTGGATGCAGATCAGCTCTACACAGTACAGGCAGAAGCGCTTCTGGCACTTCTCTGTCTCAGCCACTCACACATCAAAGGATCAATGTGGCCTTTACTGCCATAAATATTTTTGTGCCCTGAGCAGTAACCTGTCTGAATGGCATACTGGCTATGTGTACAGACAACTATCCGATGTGTATATATTTTTCATCTTTTCCCATCACAGCCATTGTGACAGATCCACAAAATCACCTGAAGACTGCAGTTTATAAGTTCAGAAGCTTTGTTTGGCCATGACTCACCCCCGAACACTTGAGTAAGGAGGCAGGGGGGGTCTGGAAGTGACCAAAGCCACCAAGGCTTCAAAACAAACTTTCTTCACAATCATCACTAAAAATCTGACAAAGATTCAGGATGGAGGGATTTGAAATGTGCAAAAATGCTGAAGTCTATGAAAAATAGAGCAGAGATCATCAAATTCATAGTTCTCATAGGACATTCCATAAAGCTGAGTGAATGTTCTGAGGTCCTAAAGATCACTTTATTCCTTTTTGTTCCAAATCTTCCTCCTTTCCAGCCTCCTTTGATTTGTGTGCCCACAGTGTGGCATCCCTTTGAAGTACTTTCCCTTCCATCTCTCTTACAGGTCCCTTCAAGCACCGAGAGGCTGCTCTAAGTCTCCCTGGGGCCTTCTCCAGGCTGAACAAGCCCAACTCCTTCAGCCTTTCTTCCTGAACAGGTGTTCCATCCCTTAGAGCATTTTTGTGCTCCTTCATCCCCCAGCCTGTGTTGATACTGGGGGTTGCCCTGAACCAGCTGCAGGATCCTGGACTTGGCCTTGTTGAAACTCCATGGGCCACTTCTTGAGCTTGTCCAAGTCCCTCTGGATGCCACCCTGTCCTTCAGGAGTGTCAACTGCACCACTCAGCTTGGTGTCACCTGTGAATTTGCTGAGACTGCACTTGGTCCCACTATGGACCCCCAAGGGACACCACCTATCACTGACGTCCCATCTGAACATTGGGTCTTTCACCACTCTGGATGTGACCGTCATTCCTTATTCACTCACTGAGCACTCCAGCCATGAAATCCATCTCTCTCCAATTTAGAGAGAAGGATCTTGACTCTCAGAATGTTTTTCTAATGGATTATTATTCTTCAGTTCCATATCTAGAGCCCAGTGCGAACTAGGAAGGTATGCAGAATAATTCAAACTCATTAAAGGTCCAGCTCCACTCTCATTGATGTCAGTAGCAAAAATTCCAACAGCAAATGTCCTAAAACATCTAAACAGAAACTTAATTTAAAACACATGAAAGCACATATGTTTAAGAGTTTGCTGGGTCGACACTTGAGGGAGAGAAGGAGCAGGCCCTACCAGAAATGCTCAGAGTTAGAGTGTAAGCAGCAACACTCAAACAAGTATGGACTTATTTACAGACCCTTCTGTGGTCAACTGCCTTTTCTTGCTATGTCCAATGCCTTCAGCAGTAAGGTTCCTCCATCACCACATATACTTGGACATTCAGAGCTTTTCTTATTTATGTTATTTCCTAATTCACATTATTTGTTATTACCCAGCTCTATGAAACTGGGTAACAGACAGTGGGATAGTCCCAATGCGGTGACAAACTCAGGATAAAAATACAAAACATAAAAAATACACCAGCAAAGAGAATGATGGGACTGCAGTACTCAGATTTTCAAGCTGGCAAAGGCTGGGTTGGTGAAACGGGAGCTCGTTTCAAGAGGAAAGCAGTGGGGACAAGAACCTTGCCACAAGTGATGAGAAGAGAGGAAGCTGAAGAGAAGATGAAAGGTCTGAATGGGAGGGAGGAGTGGAGCTGCTTCAAAGAGCTGAGCAGGGTGGGGCTGAGAATCCACTCAGAGGTGCAGAGTTTGTCCTTTGAAGGACACCTTTTCTATAGCTCTCTTATTTCTGGATCTGCTGACTGTGTCTCTCACAGATTTTCCCTACGAAAGTTCACACACAGAAACAGCTTCCCTGAAGTGGAGTGGTACTACAACTTCAGCTGGGCTGCTGTTAAGGCAACTTCAGCTCTTTTTACCCTTCCACCTACTCTTGCTACTTGGAGTGTATTTACATTTGCACTATATAAAGCTACTCTTGGAAAAATGAGTAGATATACTCATTAAATACCCTCCAGGAAGATCCAGCCATCCCACAAGTATCTCAGCTTCAACTACAAAGAACAAATGCTCAGTTTCAAAAGGGCTTCAGGATGGCAAGAGCTATTTTATCAACTGAGAAGGCCACTTACAGGATGTCCCAGACATCTGGCCCCAATCTGTCACTGCTTAATCCTACAATCCTAAACATTTTGTGGACGTTTGATGCCTGGGATAACTGTAACAAATGCTGCATGATCCTCAAAGTCTGTAAATGTCAACAGAGCTCTTAAACAAGTTTCATCAATAAAATAATAATTATATTGCAATTATTACTTTTGTCTTTGCTGTGACATCGTTAATGCTGCACACACCCAAGCACAGACACAAAACAATGCCACGTGATTACAGGAAGAACACAACACAGTTATTGGGTTTTATAACTACTGCTGCTTTCAGAACAGGGCTTCTACCAGGAAAAAATACCTCCTAGAAATTTATGGGACTTAACTTTGTTACCATATGGAAATACATATGTTATCTTTATTTCACACTCAAATCTCTCTGCAGTGTCACTGTTGCAATATCATACATTCAAAAGCTGTATTTATAAAAACACTGAATTATCTCACAGTGATCTAAACACATCACAATTTTCCCAACAAAACAGTTTAATCTAATAACTGTAATTGCTTAAAATGTTTTTTCTTTGCTTCCAGATTATACTTTGAATGCACCTGAGAATGCTGCCACGCAGAAATAACAGCGTGTTCCCAAGAGGGTTTATATTATCAAATGTTTACCATTTTCATAAGCGTATTTAATCACAGTCATGTCTAGAATATCTGTCAGTGGTACAGATCAGAAGAAATAAACTATAAACTAACCAGCTCGGACCGTAGGGTGAAGCAATAACTGACATTTTCTTAGGAAATGAGTTATGACTGAAAAAGAGAAGCCTTCACAGTCGTAGTGCTAAATAGGTCCAGTGTGCCATTAGAGCAAGCTCATTAATATACACCTCTGCTCTCTGCTGCAAGATCAGTTAAACAAGCTGCCTTTTATTTATAGACCTAAAAGGGAAAGAGCAGGTCATATTGGCTGCTGACATCTCAGACAGCCTACAGATGGAAAACCCAAAACATTTCATTCCAAAGCATTTAATGCTATCAATAGGAAATCTGATGTCTGGTCA